GCTTGCTTAAGAAACTCCTTACCTCACAGTCTGTGGGTAGGACCTGGTACATCTGGCTGTATCGTGTTGGTCGGTGGTGCACAGCCCTTGGTAATCTCATTGGGGCTCTCTACAGGACAGAAAAAGGTTAACAGGATGATTTACAAGAGTAAGGAAAAGGCCAAAGGAGGACAGGAACAGACAGACTGGGTGAGTTATTCAAAGGTTTGACCAGACTATGACCAGATAGGGCTCAAAAAGAAGCGTGGAGCAACGGGATTTGGTGGCAGTGTCACAATCTGGCCCATGCTCAATCACACACAATCCTCTGTCCCAGGTGCATGTTAATAGTTTTGTATAAAATGGATGCTTTCCTTCTCCTCAGCCCCTTGCCCTCTGCCCAATGACCAATGAGGGGTCCCACGAAGCACCAACACGATGGCAGCAGCGGTGCAGCAGAGCAGGGTAGGATGTGTGGTCCTGGCAATAAGTGGATCTACACCACTTTGAACCCAAGCTGGCAGAGCATAAACACGTGGATTCGCACCAACGCAACAGATCAGAACCCAAGGAGGAGGGCTCAAACAAGTCGTAATTTGTAACAACAACAAAACTGCAGGGTTTCATCACTTCAGCTCCCAACCCTCACACCTCAACCTCGCCGCAAGGAAAACAGCTGTCTCCCTGTTCTCCCACATCTGCCCTAAACATCCCGTTGGGGCAGCCAGCCTGGGAAGCACTGCCTGTTGGGTGGAACACCGCTGTCTGGAGCTGTGAGTTGTCAGAGCAATCACTGTGGGGTGGGGACAAGAAAAGGACACAGTGTTCAATGCTGGATCTGTTTGGAGAGTAGAAAATTGTTCCCGTGCAAACCCTTCTTTTGCAGCAGCCAGGCTGCAGGGTGCTGCATGCACAGAGCTGCAGGTCCAGCTGCGAGTGCCCCAACATTGCTGTGCTGTTTGGCTGCAGCTGCTGCTGCATCAGAGGTGACTGCAGATCGACAAGACAGGGCGACAGCACAACTGTAGGCACCTTCATCTGCTGCATGCATAATCCTCGGTGCTGAACCCGCTCCAAACTCATCCCCAGGTCTTATCTTTTCTAAACTGGGTATTTATTCATGTGGTTGTTTTATGTAAACTGCAAAGAGCCTCGTTAAATGGAAACCTTCCCTCGTGAGCTTTATTATTAAGGTGGAACGGCACTCGGAACGCGCTGAGCAAAATCCCTGAGCTTTGGTGTTGCTCGGGGAAGGAATGCTTGATGATGCTGAGCCCACCTATCTCCCCCATTCAGGAGCATGCTCTGTTCTGGGATGAGGCACTGCAATGGGCACCGTGTGCAGGAAGCTCCCAGGAGAAGCCCTGAAGAACAAAAAGGGGACCTGCCCTGCCCCAGCAGTCCAGCACTGGGCCCTTTGGCTTCTGGAGAAAGATGGAGCAGTAATGAGGCTTACCTGGGCTGTAGCTCCAGGCTTGGGTCTGGCTGACATGGAACTGTGGAAGGGGATGAGGTTTTGCAGCTAAAATTTCCCATTGCTGGAATGCTGGCCAGGTAAATCCCAGTGTTTTTGTGGGTCCCTTTTCTCATTTGTATTATAAATGCTCATGGCAGAGTTGACTGCAGAAGACACATACACATGGTTATGGATGCACGCATCAATCTGAGGCTGGAAATGAATTGGGCTGTGTGTATTTTCCCTTCCTTAGCCCAACTGAACTCAATCCTGCTTTCCCAGGATTGAACGCCAATAGGAAGCACTGCAGATGAGTTGTTTCCTTTTGGTAGCAGACACACGTGATGAAGCAGTGTGATATTTGGGGAACGGGCTGAGAGAGCAGAGAGGGACTGGATGCTCTGGCAGTGCCCAATGCATGCTGAGCCCTTTGCAGTGGTCACCCCAGTGCCCCACTGGGAGCCATGCATTGCTTCTGCTGTATTCGGTGCCTCTCAGCCCCCGCATGCATCTCCAGCTGAAGGACTCGAGAGCTGATAGAGCTTTTTAAAGTGGGGATTATGTAAATGCATATTATGGCGCTTTCATAAACAGGGATTATTTGTCGAATGCTTTCGAGTGCTTCCTTCGCAGCGATTAAGGTCTGTTGTGTAAATAGGAATTTAGTGGCTGCTTAGTCTAAGTTTCATTGGTTCAATAAAAGATGAGAGCAGCACTTTTTTGCATTCATCTTGGCTTCGTGAGAACATCTTTGGGGCAGTTTTCAGATAATTACATGAACATCTACACCTACTGCCCATTGCAGGCAGCATACCTTGCATATCCATATCGACCATTTCTCCATTTCCATTCCTTGCTACTTTTGTGATTAAGTCCGTTGTCTCAGCTGTTATTCTGTTGGATATCTCTCCCTAAATTAAGAATTCTGAAAGTGTGGATGAACAAAGCAAAACGAGTATTTTGCCCTCAAATGCCAAAAGACACGTTGTACCATTAGTTATCTGTGCTGTAGTTGGGCAGTGTGGTGCTATCAGTCACACAGAGAATGAATCACATCGAACATCACCCATGGGGCTGTTCATTCCTGGAAGTAGGAATGGACCAGGGGGCCAATATTCCTGATGGGGCTCATTGAGGAAATGAGGTTTTGCTAGAAAACTTGGGTGCCCTCCTACTGGGATGTGGCTGCATCTCAGCCCCTCATCGCTGAGTGCTTTGGGTCACTGCTCTCCTTTGCATCTCCTTTCAGTTGGAGCAACTTTGCCACTCAGTTCTGTAAGTGGAGCTACCAAGGAAGGCATTAAATGGGAATTTCTCATCTTCCTCCATTCGTTGTTATTTCCAGTCTTTAAATTCAACTTCTACCAAGCTAAGCAAGCCTAGAGCACAATCTGTGCACGATACCTTGCTTTGAGAAGATCATTTGAGTATAAACCAATATTACTTTCTAATTCAGCTGTGATGGGGATCGAGTTATCACATAATGCATTTTCTCCTTTGGTGAATTCTCAAACACATAAATAGGAGTTTGAAAGGAGATCTCATCCTCAGCCTTTGGAAATGATTAATTTCTACTAATGATTTACTGACGTACACACGGCTTATTTTGCATAAAGTTAGAGCTGAGCACATTTATTCATTATGATTCCCTTAAAAATGGATATAAATATCAAGAGCAATTGGCTACCAAAAATTTGAATATTGCAGCACTGCATCATGGGGAGCTGACATGAATACGAGTTGGGTGAGAAAAAAATATACAGAAAATGCTTATCCAAGTGTGATACTTTACAGCATGTCACTGAATCATCGGAAAGTGTTACATTCATTACAAACGTATGCAGTATTTGCAAAGGATTCCTTGGGAAAGAAAAAAAAAATAAAATAAAAAAAAATAAAAGAGCAATATTTTCCTTAGTAAATGTGCTCTGTGATCTATGGAACCCATTTCTCCTGTGAAGTCCAAAGCCTGGGCTCTCTGCAAGGCTGGAACAACTGCACCATGGGATGGTTCACTGCTGGCACAGAGAGAATGAATGGGATGGGGGGCCCGCATGGGGCAGCGCACCTTGGCTGAGGATGCAGCCAAACAGTGCAACAGAGAGCAAAGAGCTGCACACCTTGGAAGGAAAAGCCTCTGAGAGGCGGCTCCCGGTGTCCAAATCCACCAGGAGAGCAGGAGGGCACCTGCACACGGCCATTGACATGTTGCACTCGTCCCTGTATTGATCTGCTGCTTCGGCGGCCGCCTGAGCCCTTGGCAAAGGTCACTGTCTCTGTTCCCGTGTTACAAATGGGAGCAAGGAGGCGAAGAGATTAATTTTCAGAAGTGATTAATGTTCCCGGTGCCCATCCTCATTCACGTTGGGCCTCGAGCCCCAGTGAAGTCTGGAGCTGGGTTAATTAAGGTGTCCCCTGCCCCTCTCCCAGCCCCGCCAGACACGGCCGTTGCTCATTGCCATTGCCTTTTCCCACAAACTCCTCCGCCCTTCATCCCGTGCCAGCCCTCAAACCGGCTCAGGGACTCCCCCAGGGCTGCTCCCTCTCCTCCCTGGCCTCACATGTCCTGTGACACCCAAACACATCCTCTCCGGGTTTTGTCCAATGGCTCAGACAGAGCTCCCACCTCCCGACGATTTGGGGCAGCTGCTGCCCTTCGTCTCCGCTTCACCATCATTAAACAACAATCAGACAAAGCAGCTGCAGGGGAAGTTTCTCCCAGCACCAAATAACTGTTATAGAGCCAAACTGCACTTTGTTTGAGTGCAGCATTAGAACAAAAACGCTTTCTGACGGAGCGAGAGCAGCGAAGCATATCTCCAGAACAAGGAGACCCTTCCACCCCTGGGAGCTGCAAAAAGGGGTCGGGGAAGTGGGATGTAATGTAGACAACACACAGATATGCACTGCTAATGTCTGCCAGTGCTGAAAGCAGTAACTGCAGCTGATGGTGCCCCTGCGGCCATACAGTGCAGGATGTATACATCTCCACAGTGCCATACAGTGCCATACACACTGTACTGTACAGGACTGTGCTGTGCTTTATTGGGCTGTACAGTGCCAAACACGACTGTACCGCACCATGCCACTCTCCACTGCACTGTACCGTGCCATATAGCACCATAACATGCAATACAGCACCATAACATGCCATACAGCACCATACCCTGCCATACAGCACCATACCGTGCCATACACCGCCGCACAGCCCCGCCCACGTGCCCCTCTCCCGCCACCGCCCCGGCCCGCGCCCCTCGCCCGCGCCCGGCCCACGTGGACGCCCGCCGCCCGGCATGAATGAAGCTCCCTCCTCCAATCGGCGCCCGCCTCGCCGCCGGCCGCACGCGGGCCGCCCCGCCGAGCGCGTCTCCAGCCAATCGCGCGGCGGCGGCGGCCCACCCGCAGCCAATGGGAAAGGCGAGCGCTGGGCGGCGCCCCGGGCCGGCGGCGTCCAATGGCGGAGCGGCGCGGGCCGGCGGTGGCGGCGGGCGGGCCAATGGGACGCGGGGGCGTGGCCGGCGAGCGGCGGCGCGGCACCCGGGCGCGGGGCTCTAAAGAGCGGCGCGGCGCCGCGTCCCGCAGACGGCCATGGCCGCCGCCGCGCAGTACCTCCCGCGCTCCGCCGCGCTGCTGCACCCCGACAGCGATCGCCTGCATCAGGGCACCACGTACCGCGAGGTGCAGAAGATGATGCACCACGAGTACCTGCAGGGCCTGGCCCCCGCCGCCGCCGGGCACGCCGTCGGGCTGGCGCACCACCAGTGGCTGCCCAGCGCCGGCACGGACTGGGGCAGCGGCGGAGGAGGAGGAGGCGGCGCGCACCTCCCGCCGGCGGCCGAGCACGGCAAGGGGGGTCCGGGAGGGCCCCGCGAGGAGCTGCCCCCCGCCGCCGCCTTCCACCCGCGGCCGCACCTGGTGCCCCAGGCCGGCGGCTGGGCGCAGGGCGCGGGGCCGCCCCCCCACCTGCCCCCCATGTCGCCGCCGTCGGGGCAGCCGCTGCTTTACGGGCAGCCCTACGGCGGCCTCAACGGGATGCTGGGCCCGCCCGGCCCCGCGCTGCACCACGGGCACGGGCTGCGCGACCCGCTGGGCGCCGAGGAGGCGGCGGGCCACGAGTTGGCGGCCTCGCCGCCGCCGCCGCTGGGGCCGCCCGAACCGTCGGACGAGGACGCGCCGAGCTCCGACGACCTGGAGCAGTTCGCCAAGCAGTTCAAGCAGCGGCGGATCAAGCTGGGCTTCACGCAGGCCGACGTGGGGCTGGCGCTCGGTACCCTCTACGGGAACGTCTTCTCGCAGACCACCATCTGCCGCTTCGAGGCGCTGCAGCTGAGCTTCAAGAACATGTGCAAGCTGAAGCCTCTGCTCAACAAGTGGCTGGAGGAGACGGACTCCAGCACGGGCAGCCCCACCAACCTGGACAAGATCGCGGCGCAGGGCAGGAAGCGCAAGAAGCGCACCTCCATCGAGGTGGGCGTCAAGGGCGCCCTGGAGAACCACTTCCTCAAGTGCCCCAAGCCCTCGGCGCACGAGATCACCTCCCTGGCGGACTCCCTGCAGCTGGAGAAGGAGGTGGTGCGGGTCTGGTTCTGCAACCGGCGGCAGAAGGAGAAGCGCATGACGCCGGCCGGGCTCCCGCACCCGCCCATGGAGGACGTTTACGCACAGGCGGACACTTCGCCGCTGCACCACGCGATGCCCGGTGCCGTGCCGTGACCGCCGGCCCCGCCGCTGGGCCCCGACGGCGGCGGCGGAGCGGGCGCGGGCGGCGGGACGCGCCCCGATTCCTTCCTTCCTTCCTCGGACTGGCCCGGCCCGGCCGCCCTCCCCAGCCCTATTTATTCGGGCGCCGGAGCCGCTCGCGGCCGCAGCAGAAGTAGCCAAAGGTTTGCGATCTCTAATTTATTCCCTCCCGCGGGGCCCCCGGCTCCGGCCCGGCCGTAGGACGCGGCGCTGCCCGTCCCGGCCCCTTTCTATTTATTTTCTAACCGTGCGCGGAGCTCACTCCCTCCCGTTGGTAGGTTCGGTTCGGTTCATCCCCCCTCCCACCCCTCCATCCCCCTTTTCCCCTTTGGTTTCGGTTTTTTGTTTGTTTTTTTTGTTTGTTTGTTTTGTTTTGTTGTTGTTTTTTTTTTTTTCGTTTGTATCTTTATTGCAAAACAAATGTAGACTGCGAGGGTACGTTTCTATTTATGTTATAGTAAATATTTTATTACTTACATAAACCATTTACCCAGGAACCGGTCTCGTGTCGTCTTTCGGGAGCGGGGCGGCCTCGGGCCGGGGTCCATCTGGCCCCCATCCCCACCACCCCCCCCGCATCCCACCCTCGGTGCGCTCCCCGCTGCCGTTCGGTTCCACCCCGCGCTCCGGAGCGCCGAAGGAGCGTCCCGCTGTGCCGCGAGTTCGTTACGCTGCGCCGAACTTCTGCTTTGCAGCGTGAGTAGAAAAGAGAACTTCTCTCCGCTTCTCGCAGGGATAACAGACGTCCGTGAGCAGAGCTCGAAACGCCGCGTTGTTGTGGTTTTCGTTTTGTTTTTTTCGCTCCGACGTGTTCCGCTGTCCCCAATTCTCACGGCTTCGTGCCCCGGTGGGTCGCGGTTGCCACAGGGAAAGCTGCAAATTGCCGTGTTGTTTAGAAGGACCGACCCCCATCTCCTAACGCTCTTCTCTTCCAGTACCGCGGGGACTGCAGCCGCCACTGCGTGTCCTTTGGGTCCAGCGGTGTTTTGTGCAGAGGGAACTGTGCCGTGTGTGCCTGCACTGCTCGGATGCGAGGTTGAGAGCCGGGGGTAAAACATCCAATTTCCTTTTAATTTGGCAGAGAACTTCCCGTGGTTTCAGCTCCTAGTGTGGCACTGCTGGCCCTGCTGGAGTCCGGGCATCAATTCCATCCCATGAGCCAGCAGCTTCAGATAGGATTTTCTAGGGATAAAGAGGGGATATTCTGGGTGTAGCCCTGCAGGTAAATTCAGATATATGTATTTTTATATATTAAATGTAACTTACGCTCAGAAACTCGCACGTGAAAACTCTTGCATTTATTGCAGCTTGATTTTTGTTGCGCCTTTGGGGCGGGCGTGCAGCGCTTCCCAAAGCAACAACACAACATTGGCAACATCCACGTTATAAATTACCCCATTCCCAACATTTCTGTGTAGGCACTCTATGTTAGCAGATACAAAAACAGCACAGCGTTGCTCATCCCAAATTCCAGCAAGTGGTTTTCCGAGACTTTAAAAAATAAAGTCACTTGGTGAAGTGGTTTTGCTGCACGTTGGAACGGCTTCCGATGTGTTGCTGGGCTGGGAGTGCTGCAGTTTGGGGCAGTGTTGGCTTCCCACAAATGGAGAGCATCCAGGGGGCTCAGTGTTGGCTTCCCCCAAATGGACAGCATCCAGGGAGGCTCAGGTGTGGGGCTGTGTGTTTTCAGGTGTGATAGAGGCTGAGGTGCCTTCTCTTGCAGGCATGACTTGATCTAAAAGCACAGAATGGTGGGGCAGTAAGGTCCTGGATTCCAGAAGTTTTGCTGTATTTACTGAATCGCTCTGTATTTGCTGAATGCGCGCTGCAGTTTAGAAATAAGGAAATGCGTGGCTGTTCAGATCGTATGCTTTAAAGAAAAAAGTGGAGGAGTGTGATGATAAATTCTTGGGAACAGGAGTTTGAGTCCATGTGTCATAGAGGAATTTAGATTTATTATCAACTCCACACTCTCTCTCTGTTCTTTTGTGCATCTCGCACACACGTACCATTGTGCTCCGCTGCAGCTCTGCTGCCTTCCCCAGGGCTCTCGGGGAGGAGGAAACAAAAGGGGAAACGATCCGACGAAAGCAGAGGTTTTTTGTGGCTTTTTTTAATTTGTTTTTTACTTCTTTAAAAAGCAACTCTTGTTTGCACCGAGCGCTTTTAACTGCGCCTCTTTCCCATACCAGGAACGACTGCAGCATCTCCTGCCCTCCGAGGCAGCGCGGCTGGCAAGCAGCCCCGGTGCTGGGGAGGAAGGGGCAGCGCTCACATTGCATTGCTGTAATGGATGAGATGCGCTGGGAGGGCGCACGGCCCTGGGTTGTGAGGTGTCAGCTCGGATCAGGCGCCGGCAGCGCTGCTGTGTGAGCCCTCCTGTGCAAAGAGAAACCCTGCTCGGTGCATCTGATTTCTGCAGCGCTCAGCTGTGTTGCAAAGCAGTGCCTCCCCAACCCCCCTGAGGGTCGCCTGGCTGAGATTTTGTTGTCTTCTTGGTCAGGGATTAAATGGTGATTACTGCAGGCATGGTTACTTTTTTTGTTTTGTTTGACTTCCTCCATTTGTTTGTTTTTTTTCCTCAAGTGCTGTGGTTGTATCAGAGTTCGGCGCGGGAGTGCAGGATGGTGTTGGTGCATGAAGGAGATGCAGATGTAGAAGCGATGCGCCAACAAACACAGCAGAACATTCAGTGTATGGAGTGCAGATACGGGAAGGGAGCAGTTCTGTGCACCCCAGAGCTGGGGCTGCTCTGAGCACAGAACTGCCCTGTCCACGCTGGCACGGAGCTCTTGGTGTGCAGAACAGGGCCAGGCAATGTAGCTGCACTGTCCGTGTGCTGTTCTGTTTTATGCTTGGCAATCAGAGGGAAATTGCTTCTTTCTGTAAGGTGAGCAATATTCAGCAAGCCACCATTTGTGGTTTTTTTTTCCAAATTATTTTTATTTTTTAGTAGATGAAGGCGGTGAGGTGCTGCTCAGCTTTCTCTGTGCTTGGGATAAGGTTGCGTGGTGCCAATATCCAACTCATTTCTGAGATTTCTTACCTTGGAACATGAGTGCTGCCACTGGGAGAGCACCGGGGTGCGCTTGTCCTGCAGCTCTGTGCCTCTCCAGGCATGGTTACATGGAACCACTGATGCTGTGTCCCTTCATCCTTCCAGCAGAGCCTGTTCTTATGCTCACCCTGATCCCTGCCCGGCACCTGCTGTGCCTGCAGCCCTTCACTGCCAAACGCAGCAGCAGAAAGTCATCGATTTGCATGGAAGTTGGGAGCATTGCAGTTAGCACCTTGCCCATTTCCAACCTTGCTCTCCTGCGAGGATATTCAGCACCGTCTGGTTGAGCAGATATTTTAATTCTATGCTAACGCCGCCGTTGTTTGCATGTGTTTTAATTGAGTGCCAGTGCTGCTGTTGTTTGGCTGCTCAGCATCACCTGTTTTGTGTGTGTGTGTCTAAGTGGGAAATGCAGAGCTCGTTAAGTCCTTCATGCAAACCCCACAGAGCTCTGCAGAGCCGGGGCGCTCGGCATCGCTCCCGTTGCTGCTGCATGCAGCTCTCACCCGCTGCAGTGATGCACACAGCACACCTACAGTGGGCATCTGCTTTTGGGGTCCGTGTAAACTCACCCATGAAAGTTTCCCTTCCTTTTCATTAGGACTAAGTGTCTCCTGGCAGTGGGAGGTGGGGGGCTGTGAAGGCGGGTGGAGATGCAATGGCACACAGCTTGTTGGCATCTCCCACCACTCAGTGCCACGCTGCTGGTCGGGCTGAGTGTCACTTCTGGCTTTGCAGGGAAGGGTTGTTAAGCCCTGGCTGTGCATCAGCCCATTCCTGATCACCTGCCTGCTTCTTACCCCCCAGCTCTCTTTGCTTTTATTCCCCACAAGGCCAAAAAGGACAGCAGTCAGTGCTCACACACTGCAGCATCTTCCTGCGGTGTTTCCAGCCTGGCTGCTCCATCCCTGTGCTCAGGAAGGTCTGCTGGGGGCTGAAGCTTTGCAGCCCATTCTCTCCTTCATTTCTTTGTGTATTTTTGTGTGTGTGTGTGTGTAAATTCATCCAGTGGTTTTCTTTCACCTGTAGCTCTGCACGTTGTGCCTCTCAGCTTTCAGATGGTGCCGAGCTGTAAATCTGCAGCTGGTCAAAACTCCAGGAGATCAGAGCGGAGTTCTTATTCTCACATTTGCTGCAAACACATCAGTTTCACAGAGTCTGGCCACTGCATCGGCTGTCTTTAATTGCATATATGTTTAGCTTGAAAATGGTGAAGGTTTTCACAGTTAATTTTAGGACAAACCGAGGTAGGGACAGGTGATGGCTATTCAGACTGGGAACTGCTGTGCTGATAGCAGTGGTCTACATCTACAGTGGTGACAGCTGCACGTTTTCCTCTAGACCACACTGGAGCTGCAGGGCTTTACTCCTGGTTCTTCTGCTCGCTTCCTTGCAGGCAAGAAGAAATGCTATTTTCTGGTGATATTAATCTCTACGGTGTCATAAATGTTAAGTCACAAAGGTGAGCTCTGAGTGCTGGAGGGCTGAAGAGAAGGGGAAACTGCTGGGGCTTCGCATTCCTGTGGGGTGGGGGATTTCTGCTTTGTCTTTCTTTAAATGTTATCGCAGAGCTGGAATGACTGCACAGTGCTGCACTGAGGAATCCTGCTGCCCTCCCAGGGAGCATCTCCTGCATTCACTTCAGGCAGCCGCAGCGCTGGGTCCCCTCGGTCCCTTCTGCCCTGTGTGGAGCAGAGGTAGGTGGGAGAGCTGTGTTTTCATTCATGGGCACTGCAGCACAAAGGGCCTTTGCTCCTGGTAGAAGGACTCCTAGCATTTTGTTTTCCTAACACGACTTCATTGACTCTCAGCAGCAGTGTGCAATTTAGTTTTTTTTAGTGAGAACTTTTTGTGAGCTGAAGAAATGAGTTTTCCCAGCTCTGGAAGCATCCCATCGTTGGCTCTCACTCCATTGCTCCTTCAGCTTATGGGGCTGTTGTGGCTGCATACCACCCAGGGCCCAGCAGCAGTCCTGTCCCACAACCCAGCATCGCCTCACCAGATCTTTCAGCTGCATCCCACAAACCTCCCCAGAAGCACACGACCCAAAACCCTTCCCAACATCACCGAATTACTTTTGCTGGTCCAATGCTGCGTTACAATCTCACTGTTTCTTTCCAGTGCAGATAGCAGATCCCATGTGCTCAGCTCTGCAGGTCGCCTCTGGATGCCCTATTTGGGTGCTGGGGTGCAGCGTGGGGCTGCATCTGGGTGCTGCAGGGACTTGGTGGCTGGACCAGCTCCATGGGGGGAATGCAGCCCATCCCAGTGCCTGCAACTCCCAGCTGATGCCAAGGATGGACACAGGGCAACAGCACTGAGAGGGAGAGAATGGGATCGATACCAGTGGTGCTTGATATTCCGCTTAGCGGAACGCTTGTTATATCTTTAATTACTATTTCTAAAAGCTGCACGGGATGGTAAGCAAAAGCTAGAAATAAATAGCAAGGGGTGATCAATTGGGCATGAAACCCTTGTTATTGATCACCTTTAACCTCTGCTTAAACTAATGACAGAGCTACCATTTAGCTGTCCCCAGGCACAAAGCACATCAATTGCACGAGTGCCACATAAATCACGCTGGGATGCTGCAGTGGGGGAGGATGGGGGTCCCTTTGGGGTGGCTGCAGCACCCTTCCTCCCTGCTGCTCTCCCAGGAGGCTCTACCAGCAGAGCCCCATCCCATGCACTGGGCATGGCTTCATGGCAGTTCTGCATTCATAGCAGTCCCTGCCTGCCCCTTTCTTCACAGAGCTACAGTGTGATTTATGCAGTTAGAGATGCTTTTGATGCTCCTTAGTGGGGCTGGGGGTGGTGATGGGGCACGATGAGTTTGCAAGAGGAAAGGCAGATGGGATCCAGGCAATGAAGATCTCAGTGCAAGTGTTGTTGGAAGTGTCAGAGCTGGGTGTGATGAGGGTCACCTGTTCTCATCCACCTTTGGTTGCTTCTCCTGAATCATCAGCTGTGCTGGAATTGCTATCAGTTACAAGGGGGGAAAAAAATAATCACTATTTGCAATTGGCAGCAGAGTGAAGTCAGCACAGCCTTTCCAGATAACAGCAATAATATTCATTAACATTCGATCTACAAATTCTCCCTTGGAAC